TAGGGTCTGAGATTATAAAGACCATTTGAGTCTTTTCAGTCTTTACAGATGACGCCAAGCTGTGCAGTGGAATAACGTCCTTACAGGATGTCTCCAACTTACAAGCCAACCTCAATGCTCTGTTTAATTGGGCAAATATGTGGCAAATGAGGTTTAATGTTGATAAATGTAAGGTTATGCAACTGGGGGCTAAGAATATGCATGCATCATACATACTAGGGGGCATACAATTGGGGGAATCAATGGTGGAGAAGGATCTGGGGGTTCTGGTAGATCACAAGCTTAATAATGGCATGCAATGCCAAGCTGCGGTTTCTAAAGCGAGCAAAATCCTCTCTTGTATTAAAAGAGGTATAGACTCCAGAGAGAGAGATATCATATTACCCCGGTACAAATCATTAGTAAGACCTCATCTGGAATATGCAGTTCAATTTTGGGCACCAATTCACAAAAAGAACATTGGGGAACTGGAGAAAGTACAGAGAAGGGCAACTAAACTGATAAGATGCATGGAGGAGCTCAGCTATGAGGAAAGTTTAGAGGAGCTGAATTGATTCTCTCTTGAGAAGAGGAGATTAAGGGGGGATATGATCAACATGTATAAATACATCAGTGGTTCATATAGTGAACTCGGTGTTATTCCCCCTGAGGTCATCACAGAGGACAAGGGGGCACTCTTTACATCTGGAGGAAAATAAATTTAATCTCCAAACACGGAAAGGTTTCTTCACAGTGAGAGCTGTGAAAATGTGGAATAGATTCCCTCAAGAGTTGGTTCTGGACAGCTCAGTGGATTGCATTAAAAAAAAGCCTGGATTCTTTCTTAGATACACAGAATATAACTGGATACTAACAATTATAGGTAAAATTGATCCAGGGAATATTCAATTGCCTCTCGGGGGATCAGGAAGAAATCTTTTCCCCAGCAGGTGCAAATTGGATCATGCTTTGCTGGGGTTTTTTTGCCTTCCTCTGGATCAACTGTGAGTGTAGGATTATAACTTTGTTTTTGTTTATGGTGGAACTGGATGGACTTTTGTCTTTTTTTTCAGCCAAACTAACTATGTAACTGTGGGTATAGGATTGTATACATTTTTTTACCTTCTATTCTAGTTTGTTAAATATCTCCCACAGAGTTTCTGTGAGTACGGGGCTTCTGGGATCACAGGAGTGACAAACTCTAGAAGCACTGGGGTGAATGGATCACTTGAACATAAAGTATAAGTGCCAGTGGTTACTCTGGAGGTCACAAAGTTGCGCAGGGGTAACATAAGGGGCTTGAGGCAGGATCGCTGGGGACACAAGAGGTCATGGAGGTGCACAAATATCACAGAGGATGCTTGAAAGCAGAAACATCAGAGACTACAGGAGCACTAGGGAACACAAGAGCACAAAAGAACACAGAAGACAACAAGGTTGCTAGGGTGCACAGGGGCACTGGTTGTGATTAGACAGTCTTAGTAGACTCTTGGAAGGCACAAGCATTTGTCAGCTAGCATGTTGATGTGTTACTTGAATACCAAGCAACACACAAGCTAGTCCTTTAGGACAGCATCTAGTCTGCAATTGGCTGCAGTGCCCTTGGAACCCAGACGCCTAGGGCTGCATGATGAGACGAAGATCTGGCACTGAAGTGTGCATTGAGTCTGTTCACTAGTTCTGTCTTTTGTCTTAGAAAAAAATACACTCTAATTTTGTTTCACAATAAATCTGCTTTGTCTCTTCTTCAATTGTAGCCTAGTAAAACTGTAATGTGCAATGAATCTGTACAATATTTATGGCTGATGTCTCTAAAATAAATCACTCTAATTTCTACTTAATGAAAAAAATGCCTTGTTTCTAACTCTTACATTGCAGCTCAAGCAAGCTGCCTACATAAACTCTGTAAACACTGTACAATGTGCGTGGCTATTGTCTCTGAAATATTATGGTCTAATATTTATTTTGGGACTAAAACAGCCTTATCTCTGGAACTTGAGGTTGTGTTTTTTGACCATTGTTTTGACTATTAAACTTTTAAGATAATACAATGTGTTACTTTAAAAATTTAGGATCAGAAGATATGCTACAAAACAGTTTTGCCACTGGCTTAGTGGTACAAAGTTGAGAGCTTTACCTTGATTTTTTGGATTGAGAAAAACTTTCCTATAGCTTTTAGATCTGTTGTGGTTTCTATCTCTAAGTTATGGCAAATTATTGCTATAAATAAGTCAGGTATCACAGCCAACACTACCTACAACAATCCTTTTTTTTCCAAGTTAAAATTAACCCCTTGGCGCCGGTGCCTCCCGGCCCTTTAAGGGTTTCAGAAGCCAGGAGGCGGGGCGGGGTTTTAAGGTCATGTGACTGCCATGATTCGCTGTCACGGCAGTCACATGATCAGGAAAGGTCCTGATCGAAAGAGGACCTTTCCGTGAGTAATAGACGTGTGCTGGGAGCACGCAGGGCGCGCGTTCTCAGCACATATGTTTTTGTTGATTGCACACAAATGTGCAGCTGCTCTGCGTCAAGGCCCAAATGCCGGGAGGCCACACATTTGCGTGCAGCCGGCGTGAAGAGGTTAATCAGATTGCCGTGCTACTGCTGCATTTCCACCAAACAATAATGTAACATTAAAAAGCAAAATATATAGTATGATGCTGGAATACAGTGTCATCGATGTTTGTTGGAATCATTCTGTTCCATAACACCATATACAGATTAAATATAGCTCCCAAGCATATATTGGAAAGGAATTATGTTTTTTCTCATGTCGTCATTGAAGTTCCATTAAAAAAAGGACCCTCTCCTCTGAATGGTATTTTTTTACATTTTCTTGTACAGGTTCCACATGGCCGTGTCACACTGCCTATGCAGTTTGACAATAGACTTGAAAATGACCAAAATTAATTTTTCAAGATGTGCCTGTTTTTTAATTCAGTGGGTTGGGGTGGGGCAGAGTTACTTCATGTTTTGGCATAGTATGTGGAGATATGTAAATCATTCCTTAAGGTCTTTTGTGGCAAACTATGGACACAGAACCATTGATTTATTGCACAAATAGTTCACATATTGTTATTTTATTTAATCCTGCCCATAGACTTAAAACTATGCCAGACCTGTGGCTAAGGACAGTAATGTTTGGACTGAGGACAGTAATGGGGGGTTCAGGACAGTAATGGGGGGTACTGAGGATAGTAATGGGGAATACTGAGGACAGTAATGGATGGGATCAGGACAGTAAATGGGGGGGACTCAGGACAGTAATGGATTGACTCAGCATCAGGAGAGTAATGGGGTGAACTGAGGACCATAAAGTGATGGACTGAGGACAGTAATGGAGGGCTGAAGATAGTAATAGGGGGAGGGACTGAGGGCAGTAATGGGTAGGGCTGAGGGCAGTAATGTGAGGGGGGCTGTGGACAGTAATTTGAGAGGGGGCTGAGGACAGTAATGTGAGGGGGCTGTGGACAGTAATATAAGGGGGGAATGAGGACAGTAATGTGAGGGAGTTGAGGACAGTAATATGAAAGGGAGTGACTGTGACTTGAAGGGGTGACTGAGGAATCTGATGTAATAGTCCGCCAGGCAGTACTAGGGTCATTGGTCTGAATCCCAACCACAGCACCACCTGCCTGAAGTTTGCATGTACTCCCTGTGCCTGCGTGGGTTTCCTCCGGGTACTCCGGTTTCCTTCCACACTCCAAAGACATGCTGGTAGGTTAATTGACCCCTGTCTAAATTGGCCCTAGTATGTGTATGTATGAATGTAAGTTAGGGACCTTAGATTGTACGCTCCTTGAGGGTTAGGGACTGATGTGAATGTACAATAATATATATGTAAAGCACTGCATAAATTCACGGCGCTATATCAGTACCTAAAATAAATAAATAGTGGGATTGTGATATGAGACTCTATCCAGATTCGCACACACATGGCATGGACAGGGCAGCTCATGCCCAAAGGAAACACAGGGAAAGAAGTCACAACCCTTTTTTTTAATCTTCTGTGGATGTAGGCTGCCTTAAATACTTATGTCTCTTCATGCCATATTTTCTGGCGTATAAGACAACTTTTTAACCCATGAAAATCTTGCCAAAAGTCGGGGGTCGTCTTATACGCCGGTATATGGCGTGCTGATACTTCCGTGCCGGTGTAGTCAGGGGCGTATTTGCCTAGGGCGGCACTTTTTAGGGGGGCGGCGCGGTGCCACCCCCCTTCCAACGGAAGGAACACTAAGTACAGGGGTGGGCAGGGGGCTTCTGTTTCTTACCTGGCTCCGGTCCCAGTCCCACGACGATCCAGTCCAGGAAGCGCGGCTGCTCCTTCATTCAGTTCGGTCGCTCCCTCACTCGATGTTCGCTCGGTCGCTCGGCTCCGCCTCCTCATCGGTGATTGGGCGCCAGAACTGTAGTTCAGGAAAGGCACACAGGCAGCCAATCACCTGCGAGAAGGCGGAGCCCCACTGACACCAACGATGGGGCACTATTCCTCCCCCCGCTGACACCAACAATGGGGCACTATTACCCCCCCCCTCTGACACCAACGATGGGGCAATATTCTCCCCCCACTGACACTAATGATGGGGCACTATTCCTCCCCCCCACTGACACCAACGATGGGGCACTATTTCTCCCCCCCACTGACACCAATGATGGGTCACTATTCCACCACCCACTGACACCAATGATGGAACACTATTCCTTCCCCCACTGACACCAATGATGGGGTACTATTCCTCCCACTGACACCAATGTTGGGACACTATTCCCCCACTGATACCAATGATGGAGCACAATTCCTCCCACTGATACCAATGATGGGGCACTATTCCTGCCACTGATACCAATGATGGGGCACGATTACTCCCACTGACACCAATTGATGGGGCACGATTACTCCCACTGACACCAATGATGGGGTGCTATTCCTCCCACTGACACCAGTGATGGGGCACGATTCCTCCCTTTGACACCAATGATGGGGCACTATTCCTCCCACTGACACCAATGATGGGACACTATTGCTCCCACTGATACCAATGATGGGACACTATTCCTCCCACTGACACCAATGATGGGACACTGTTCCTCCCACTGACACCAATGATGGGGTGCTATTTCTCCCACTGACACCAATGATGGGGCACGATTCCTCACTCTGACACCAATGATGGGACACTATTGCTCCCACTGATACCAATGATACCATTCCTCCCACTGATGGGGCACGATTCTTCCCACTGACACCAATGATGGGGCACTATTTCTCCCACTGACACTGATGGAGTACTATTCCTCCCACTGACACTAATGATGGGACACTATTCCTCACACATTGACACTACTGATGGGGCACCATCATTGGTGTCAGTGGGAGGAATAGTGTCCCATCATTGGTGTCAGTGGGGAATAGTGCCCCATCATTGGTGTCAGAGCGAGGAATCGTGCCCCATCATTAGTGTCAGTGGGAAGAATAGCACCCCATCATTGGTGTCAGTGGCGAGGAATCGTGCCCCATCATTAGTGTCAGTGGGAGAATAGCACCCCATCATTGGAATACCATACTGAAATACCATACCATATTGAAATCAAATCTGATGTTTTTTAATTTTTATTTGGTGTGCGTTGGAAGAGGGATAGTCTTATACGTCGAGTATAGCCCAAACCCTATATTTTAACAGGAAAAGTAGGGGGTCATCAGAAAATACGCTGGAAAATACGGTAATACCAGACAGACTCGATAATTTTAAGATCAGGGCTCTGTGAGCCAAACCATCACCTCTAGGACATCTTGTTCTTCTACACACTGAAGATAGTCCACACTGAAGATAGTCCACACTGAAGATAGTCCACACTGAAGATAGTCCTGCCATAGAATACATTTAAGACAAATCCCACGCCTCCTTGATGGTATAGTATGGAATAATGGATAAGTATCTGCTTGTATTTCTCAGCATTGAGGACACCATTAATCCTGACCAAATCTCCAACTCCAACTTGTCTGTTTCCTTGAGCTTCTTCAAAAGAGCTTGATCTGCACACCTTGAAACCCCAGTCTGCTTTGAAATATTTGCCTGGGAGATACCTTGCTGATGCAGTATACCTACCTTGTGTCTTGTTGCTGTGCTCAGTCCTGCCATGGTGTATGACCTGTCTGTTGTAAGCCTTCAACACAACTATTTCTGTTTTAGTTAATGACTGTGTTTCAACCTACATATGAAATGATCATTAGCACCTGCCTGCTATCATTTTTTTCATTCAGCCCAGCAGGCTGAAAAAACCTGAATGTGTGTACCAGGCTGTAGTCACACCAAATATTTGACTTAGATTTTTCTTCTGTTCACATCACTTTACATTTTGTAAATTGATAAAAATAATCAATTAAAAAAATATATTTTTGAAGTCATTCTTACTTTACAGCATTTCTTCATGCCTGTCTAAAACATTTGCACAGTAAAGGTCCATTGTGGGTTAATGGCTTCCTATTCTTTCCTATACTGAGAGCAATGTTGGCAAGCAGATAAACTGTCAGGAACATTCAATGAACTACCATGGAGTTCCAAAGCGCCGTGGTAGTTCATTGAAAACTATAAACCGACAGCCACCTAGCCTGTTGTGTTGAGATTTGTAGTTCATTCATTAAAAGAACACAGTGAATGAATGATGCAGCCATGTGGGCGGAGCCCTGTATGGTTGTGCTGTTTTTAAAAAGTGACAGCTAGTACAGGGGACTTCTCCCCATAACAGGGGCGGACTGACCATTCGGAAACTCGGGCACTGCCCGAGGGCCCGGGGTCAGTAGGGGGGCCCCCTGAAATGCTCCTGGTACCTTTGTTATAGGCTTTTTTGAGTGTGGGCAAGGACACAGGGGCCCCATGATCCCTTATTGCCCGGGGGCCCCATGAGTTGTCAGTCCGCCCCTGCCCCATACTGTCATGGGAGGGGGGGGGAGTATCAGGCAGCAGCTGCAGCACTGGGAACATGTTACATGTTCCACCCTAAAAATGGTGACCTTGTCCTTTAATAAATGTATTTTTGTAAAACTGAGTCAATCTTTGATGCAAAAGACAAAGCCATAAACATATCTAGTGTAATGCATTTTAACATACTATACATTACTAATGTTCATGTCTACCACATCAGAGTCATTGAACTTTTATTTGTCAGAGAATAAAATCCTTCCATAAATATTATCTAACCTGTCTCTTTATTTCACCTTATTTACATCATCAGTCACCCCTTTTTAGGAAGAAATACCATATTTAAATCTCCTCTTATCATTCCTTTTTCTTATAGAACCTATTTTAACCACTTCAGCTACAGAAGATTTTAACCCCCTTCATGGCCAGGTAATTTTTTGCTATTTAGCACTGCACTACCTTAACTGGCAATTGCACGGTCATGCAACATTGTAACAAAATTAAGTTTATATCTTTTTTTTTTCTTTTTTCTTTTGGTGGTATTTGATTACCACTGTTTTTTTTTATTATACTGTACAGTATAAACAAAAAAAGCCAAATAATTTTGAAAACAATATTGTTATAAAACATATCCAATAATAAAAAAAATTAAATCTAAAATTTCTTCCTAAATTTAGGCCAAAATGTATTCTGCTACATGTCTTTGGTAAAACAAATCCCAATAAGTGTATATTAATTGGTTTGCGTGAAAGTTATAGCGTCTACAAATGATGGTATATATACTGGGATTTTTTTTTATATTAGTAATGGTGGTGATCAGAGACTTATAGCAGGACTGTAATAGTGCAGCAGGCAGTGTGACACTTTGTGGGAACTGACTGCCACTAACATCTCCAGTGATACTAATACAGTAATCAGTGCTAATAATACAGTATACACTGTAATAATGACACTGGCTGAAAAAGGGTTAACATTTAGAGGCAATCAAAGGGTTATGTGTACCTTACAATGTATTTTTTGCATAGTGTGTGCTGTTTTTACTAAGGAATGTGCCGGGTTTTACTCCCTGCTTTGCATGGAGAAAAACAACGGCACATCTCTGCTATCTGTAGAGAGCCCTGTGCTGTTTACCAACACTGGGCTCTCTTCTGTCATTTGCTCAGCCAATCAGTGGGTTCCGGACATAAATCATGGGCCTGGACCCGCTGATCAGCTTGTGCTGTAGCGAATGACAGAATAGCCGGGGCAGCATGCACACGCCACTTACCCAGAAGTCCCAGGTCACATACATGTATGTGATCCAGCACAGGAGAGCCTCCAGCCCTCAGTCAGGGGCGGACTGACCATTTGGAAACTCGGGCACTGCCCGAGGGCCCGGGGTCAGTAGGGGGCCCCATGAGATGCCCCTGGTACCTTTTTCATAGGCTTTTTTGAGTTTGGGCAAGGACACAGGGGTCCCATGATCCCCTATTGCCCGGGGGCCCCATGAGTTGTCAGTCCCCCCTTCCCGCGGTATATCTGCTGGTCAGCAAGCAGTTAGCTTTGCTGTCTCTCTCTAGTATTTCCTAATTTTCTAGCGTCTACTGTGACTATGCTATCTCTCTAATATTTCCTTATCCTTTTTCCACAAAGTTTCCATAGGCTCACTAACTTTTCCTTTCTTTCTATTAAATTATTTATTTACCAAAGAGTTTCCATAGCTTCAATTCTACTGCTGTTATCTTTGTTTCCTTTTTTTTTTCCAAATACTCTTATCTCCTTGTTATCCCTTCTTAAATAAAATATTTCCTTTACCCATAACCCTATAATAACCATCCTCTGACAAGAGACATATTCTGCAGTACAACTGGAGGCTGCCATAAGCATGGATCCCCCATAGGAATGAAAGCAAGGGTAAAGCCTGCATTCATTAAATTACATTTTTGCACCACCATTGTCCTTTACATTCCATTTAAAGCTGTTGCCATTTCCCCCCTCATTTGAAAGTGTATTCCACAGCCTGACCACTCTTACTGAGAAAACACCTTCCTAATCTAAAGGCAAAATCCCATTTTGTTCACAGGTAACTGATGGCTTTATGTCTTCTGTATGGCCCATGGGATAAAAAGCTCCTAAACCTAGAATAATTATTTACAAAATGAGCATCCTATTTTTCTAACCTTTCGGAGCAAGTTAGATCTGTCTTTCTTTAAACAATTTAGTGTCACTAATAGAACTAGAGCCCTATCAATAAGACACACTTTTTCAGCAAGGAGTTCTTACAATAGTTCCAAGTTCTTACAGCATGAGCAGTCTTTTGATATAATAAAGCTTCCAGGAATACAATTATGTCTATTAATTTTGGGAGAGGAAGGACATTGTGGTTGAAACAGTAGAATCTAGATCCCTAGATAAAGGTAAGAAATTCCCTACAGAGGGCCAGGAGGCATTGCTTAGGTATCTGTATGAGGATTGTCTGATATTGGTATAAAGCCTGGGTAATATATTCAGTTTCAAGTGATTGTTTCCTCTAAACCACATTAAGTAGTGTTTGCTCCAAAGTTGGTTAAATGATTGAGAAAGCTTCGAACATTTGCTCTTTGCCACATTTAGCTGTTGATCCTTGATGCTATAACCTTATGTTTTTTTAATCCTAGTATATATAGTCAGTAACATGTTTCACAGGCTTACTGATTACAGTTTCTGAACATTTATGGAAATCCTCATCTCTGACTGGCGAACATTCTTTTGACAAATTGCCCATTAATGCCTGGAATAGTTGGCACTTTCACTTGTTGGAGATCAAATCAACTTAACATTCAATGTCTCTTTGGTCCATTAACTTCTCTGAACAGAGTTTAAATAACTAAATAAAAGTCTTGTTCTTTAGAATCATTAATGCATGTATGATGGATGCATTAATCCACTAACATGTATAAAAACATATTTTAAGTGCCTTAGGATTCAGTTTGCTATTAATAATTGGGAATATTGCCAACATTTAGACATTTGTGGCATAGAACTGTTTTCTTTTTTTTTTTCTTAAGGAAAAACTTCACTTTCATGATACTACTAAACAATTATATATTTATAACTGATACTTTTATAGTTCTTGCATTCATGAAAAAAAATTCTGGAAGTGTTTCTGCAAAGTTTATGTGGAGAAAATAAATCAAATTTTTAGCTTGTGTCATTGGCTCACTGTTTCCCCAGAAGTCTGCATAAAGCTTGAAAAAAACCTTTCAAGCATCTCCTGCTTTGTCCTTATATTTTATACACATGCAGTAGCGGATAGATTTTTAAACTGTTTTAGAAATGTTCTTAATACATGCACAACCTTTATTCTACAAATAAAGATTTAATGATTGGCAAAGGAATCCCAAAATGACTATTTTGATGTTCCCTTTCTGCTGAACCAGTTATGTTTTGCTTCATCACTGTTCCCTGACCAGAAAGTGCGATGCAGCAGTATACAAGGGAGCAAGGCCATAGGAGTGCTTTCTTTAACCAGTTGCAAACAGTAGGTGTGATACGTACACTTTAAAAAAACTTTAAAAGTGCAAGTGTCTGTGGATGCATGTTCCAAAACCCATGCTGTCTGTGTTCAGGGCATGCACCCACACCCACATGGATGTCAAATTGGGAGCAGAGGCTGTTTCCGTAAAGCTGCTGCATCTCAGTAGACATGAAAGGGACTGCCT